CGATTTCTCGTCACCGACGACTATAGATCGGCAGATCTACGGTCGTCATCGCCATCGCCGGATTCGACGCACCTAGTCACCGGCGCCAACGCGTTTTGGAGAGATTCAACGGGATCAAACCGGGCATCCACCTCGAGCGCTACCCGCCGCCTCTCGGTATGTCCTCCTCCCACCGCTCGCATCTCACATGTCGGCCGACCGCCGACACAGCAACGTCCGCTCGTCGGCCAGGCTCGGCCCTCGCCCAACAGCTCGTCGACGAGCCTTTGCCGATAATCAAGTGTGACCACTGCTGGCGGCTCGTGGTGCGCCATGTTTCGAGCATGCCGAAACATCCCAGATGGGTTTACTTCAAGTGCGAAAAGGACGGGGTGAGTGTCATTTCATACGGCTGTTCTTCAAATTCATCACAATGTGAAACTCATTGTTTGCTTTAATTTGTATATAGGACGGATGCAAATTTTGGTATTGGGAAGAAGAATATATTGATCTATTGATAGCAAGAAATTTGCTTGATGTTGGTGCATTAGTTGCTAGAGATGAAGCTAGAGAGGATGCAATGTTCAAGTTTGAAGAGGAAGAGAAGAAAGAAGTGTGCAAGCTGAAGCCAGTAGGGAAAAGAAACAATGTAGTCAATCAAGAGATGGAGAAAGCATTGATTGGATTAACAGGAGCAGTTAAGGAAGTAGTGTTTCTATTAAAATGTGTATTTTTTCTTGTAGTTTTCTTTGGATTGGTTCTCTTAGTGAAGAATTGGTGGAGTATGTAAACAAATGAGTAGTGAAGTCTAAGGGTGTGTTTGGTAGGGTGCATGGAGGGTGCATGAAGGCAAAAGTTCTCAATCCGACCCACTTTTGCTTGTTTGGTAGGGTGCATGAGCTCACATGGGCTATGCTCATCTGATGCATAAAAGGGCCCTCAGCTATGCTCATCTCATGCACCCCAGACAGGGTGCATGGAGGCAGCCATGCTGGCCCTGACACTCGTCCCCACCCACCAGACCACGTCCAGATATGTTTATATTTTCAAAAATTGTTTAGAATTTAAAACTTTGTTTAAATTTTTGAAAAAGTTTAGAATTTCAAAATTTCTTTAAATTTTTGAAAAAGTTTAGGATTTCAAAATTGTTTAAATTTTCAAAAAATGTTCATAATTTCAAATTTTATTTGAATTTTCAATAAATGTTCAGAATTTCATTTTTTTTTAAATCAACAATGTTAGGAATTTCAAAATAAAATCAAATATTGTTTGAATTTTGAAAAAAATATCAGAAATTCAAATTTTATTTATTTTTTTATAAAATATTCAAAATTTGTTTAAGTTTTCCAAAAAAGCTTGGAATTTCAAATATGTTCAAATTTTCAAAAAGTTTAGAATTTCAAAATTTATTTTAATTTTCCAAAAAATGTTTAAAATTTCAAATAAAATAATTCAAAATATGTTTAAATTTGTGTTCATATTTTTCCAGTTTTGTTCATCATTCAAAAACAATTGTTCAAAATTCAAAATTGTTCAGCGTGTCTAAACACATGCAGGCTGCCAAACAAAGTCTCAGCTCAGCATGTCTCAGCGCATACATCGTTGCCAAACAACAGCAACTGCATGGACTCAGCATGTCTACACTTAGCATGTATAAGAGGAGAACAACTAGGCTAGGTCCATGCATGCTACCAAACACATCTTAACTCGATGGACCAAAAATAAATGAATTCATGTTTAAGTTTTTAATCCAGTAAGTATCAGGGATCAGTTAGAAACAGCCATTTTCTAGAGGAGCGAAAGTAGTCCTATATAGGATACCGGGCCGTTTACTCCTCTAAATTAGAGACTATATAGAGGGGATCGGTTAGAGTTGCTCTTAGCTACTGCCTGTCATGCTTGCCAGTACCACACACAGCCGTTCGATCGAGCAAGAACTACGAGTATGAGGAGCTGCATGGCATATGTGATTATCATCTTCCTTATCCAAGACACCACAAGGAATATGTTTTTTTGGAGGGAAAAAGAACAAAACACGCTTTCAACTTCTGAATCCTGGCCTAGAGCGGAGCACATGCCAAACATAACGATGTGAGCTTGAAATCATCATCAGCCAGGTTTCTTCCGTGAAATGCACAGAAAACCAAGTTCCATAATTTTCTTTCTTTTTCTTTGGATGTGAACCCAACTCTATGAATTAAAGGGCAGATAAAATCGCATTTTCTTGCACAGCCGCAATAGAAACATTCAGAACAAGACTCTGCAGAGTTCAGATGGGTCCTGTGTTTCTCATAGGATTCCATTTCTTAATACCACGACCAAAATGAACTCCTGAACGCGGGAAGAGTAATCATCTCTAATTACCTAATTACGTACTACCTTCCATCAAAATTGCCCAATGAGTTACAAACGTAGAAGAATACCAAAAACCCTAACCAATGTTGAATGGGTTAACCTTTTTAGCGGCTACTGATCATCAATCATAGCAGTCTTCATCTGTTACATGAAAACAATTATTTTCATTAGCAAGCATTACAATGCATACAGCCCTGATTCAGAAGGAAAAGGAGGTAGTATAGCAGTAATATGAATTGAACATTAAATGGAAACTTACGGGCTTCCTCCTCTTGGTTCCAGTCATCATCGTCATCATCAAACTCGATATTCTGCGGAGTAAGACCATGGGAGTCAAACTATTAGACAATATGCAAGACAAAGAAATGATGCATCACTGGTCTAACCATTTCATATTTGCTGATGTGAAAGAATACACATGCATCACACAATTTTGCCAAAACCATGAACATTTAACACCCATTTTTCTACATCGAATAAAACCACAGTGCATAAAGTTCCAAGGTACTAACCTGATTATAATCGTCATCTGAACTTTCTTCCGCTTCTGCTTCCTCCTCTTCATCATCCTCCTCCTCATCACCCTCCTTTTCGGTCTTCTCCTCTCCATCCTACAGTTACCAAATATCAGTCAACAACTCAACATGGTGCCATAACCTCTCACTATTTCCGTAACGTCAAACAGAGTGTAAGACTTTAAACCAGTAATAATATATCTTAAATAGAAATATGCCTTCCAGATATACTGCAGCAGACTGAAAAAAAACTAAAAGGTAATGATGGCTTGCCTTCTGCTTCGCTTCAAGTTTCTCGAATATATCAAATGCCTGATTATCTGGCAAACAAAGATGACAAGATCCATGTAAGGGGTCAGTGTATATACATTTGAATATATCTACACTAGAAGTGTTCATTCAAGTTCCATTACTAAGAATAGACATACAAATTGGATGGTGCAAACAAAGCAGTTTCCTTAATAAAGATTCAAGAAGATATCATAGGCATAAACAGAAGTTCACGGCAGAAAAGGCAACAAGAGAATTATGTTTTGATTTTGTGAAATATAGCATACCTGCGTCTTTATCCCACCGAAGTTTTTTCTGAACTGGTTGCGCTCGTTTAGAACCTGAAAGGGAGATAATATTTAAGGGTTTATTGGGCTGCAACCACATAGCAGAAAACAAAAAATGGTATGTATGTACTTCAAGACTACCATGTAGCAGTTCTGCAGGAAAATTTGCAGGGATCAGTTTGAGGTATGATGCAAGAGCTTCCCGTTTGCTTTGTGTTTTACGCTTCCTATCAGAATATCTTTCGATCTCTTTGTCGTCATTCTCTGAAAAGAAACCAAGGCAGAAAAAGAAAGTAATCAGACAGAATTCAAGAAAAGAAACAAAGTAGAAATCGCTACTTGTAGAAGATATGAAACCAAACCAGAGTATTCTCACAAGGAAAGATGCTGAATTGTTTCTATGAGCTAGCAAGGAGTCTAATCATATTTATAGCCCCCGAAGATTTAGATGCAAGTGGTAATATCAAATTTAAAATGGGAAAACAAGAAGCAAAATTAATTCTAGACCATACAGATGTAGAAAAAGTGTCCGGTGCCAGCAGTATATCAAGTTGCATACAAAGTAACTCTCCATAAATATAAACAATCAGGATTCATGGATCCCTTATTATTGAGCTTCTAGTTAATACGCCAATGGGTTAGAATGTATCACTGGAAATCCAGCCTTTCATAGCTAAAGAAAGTAGGAAAACACAGATTAGAGGGAAAGAAATAGAGGTTACTCGCTTGCTCTGTAACATAAGCAGTCCTGATATGGCAATTCATACGAAAACTGAAAAAACGGCAAGCTCCAATATAACCCTGCTGTATCCAATAATCTGGCCAACTACTCCAAAGAAGCAAAATCCCATACTCCCTCTAGCTACACACTAGTGTAGAATCGAGAAGCAATACAGCATAATGTGCAGCAAGAGGAAAATGAGCGTATCAGTTATGACAAGTAGAGTCGCGGTACTTTTCTTGGGGGCATCCGGCTCCAGGTAGTAGCAAGAATTCCTCATGAAATCATCGAGCTTCAGGGTGGACAGTATCAGAGCCTTCTCCTCGTTGGTCGCCTTGGCGCAGGTCATCTCCGGCAGGGTGATCTCCTGCAAGGGCGAGCGCCAAGAACCCAAGTGAATCCCGAATCCTACTAATTCAGCCAATCCCGCACGGCGACCGAGTCGAGGTGGTGGCTGCGGAGAAGGAGGGGAAGGGTGTGGAGAGCGGAGGAGACTGGCTGACCGGGAAGTCCTCGTGGGGAGCGTGCTTGGCGGGGTGGTCATAGCTGGCGCCCCCGAAGCCTCTGCCTCCTCTTCCTCCGCGGCCGCCTCTCCCTCCTCCTCTCCCTCCACGGCCGCGGAACGACATCCCGGGGAGCCCGACGCCACCCCTCTTGGTAGCAGATGGAGGCGCGAGGAGGCCCCGAAATTTTGGAGGAAACGAGTTGCGATCGTCAGAGATTGGTGGCGGAGAATCAAGCCGACGTTGTCGTCTTCAGTACCGGCGCCGCCCGGAGAAGGGAGAGGCGGCTAGGGCAGAGGTGAGGCGCTGACGCGGCCGCGTGCGGCGGTTGATTCGATGTGGGAGCGAGCGACGGCGGCGCCCGCCGCCCGGAAGGAAGAGAGGGGAGGGGTAGTGCGCCACTCGTTGGGCCGGTCTTGATGAGATGGGCTTGTATTTTACCGCAGGTGTCGACGTGTGTACGGGCCCTATTTGGCTCGCGAGCGTCCAGGTGCTACGCTGGAGCGAGCACCGCTAAACGGGCCGGCCCACTTCGAACTTTAGAGCAGTTCCAGGCAAACCGGTTTTGGTTCCCTCAAAAAAAAAAGGCAAACCGGTTTTGGGAACCTTCTAGAAGGTTCTCTCAACCGTTTTCTTTTCTGGTTTCTTGTTTTGCCGGTTTTCTGGTTTGCCCTGTTTTATTTTTTATTTTTTTCCTTTTTCTGTTTCTGTTTCTATTTCTTTTTTCTTTCATTTTATTTATCATTTTTCGTTTTACTTTTATCCTTTGTTTTCATTTTTTAAAATTCCAACTTTTTCATGACTTCAAAAAATGTTCAAAGTTTTCAAATTTGGTTCAGTTTTGAAAATTTGTTCAAAATTCAAAACTTGTTCATCATTTATCACAAAAAATGTTCAATGTGTATTTAACTTTTGTTTAGCATATATCACAAAATTGTTCAATGTGTAGTTAAAATTGTTCACCGTATATTACTCAAAATGCTCAATATATATTTAAAATTCGTTCATCGTATATCACAAAAATGTTCAGTGTGTTAATATTGTTTAGTGTATATCACAGAATTGTTTAATGTGCAGTGACAATTTTTTCAGCATATATTGCAAAAATGTTAAACATATAATTCTTTATCAAACATAAAAACAATAAATGTTTGGAATTTCATAAATTTATTCACGTTTTAAGTAATTTTTCACGTTAAAAAATATATTTTTTAGAAGTTTCTTTGAGTTTTGAAATTTGTTCAAGAAAACATTGTTCAATTCTTTTAAGGAAGATTCAAAAACAGCGTGGCGCTGTAATTTAAGACAAACCTAGTCCCTAGTTGCAGCGGCTGTCACAACTGTTATTCAGTGTTAGTTCCGTGGTTTCACTTCATCCTACGATGGCATTTTTCGTGACAGTTCTTATTGCGTTCACTCCCCTGGGAATGGGCCGGCCAGTTTGGGCAAATTCTTCAGCGAACCCTGTGTGAAGGCTCCTCTGTTTGACGCTAACGAGCGTCGAACAGGAGCTCTCGTATGGGCCAACTTGAAAAGGGTTGTTTAGAGAACGGAGCGTAGCTCAGTTGGCAGCGCGCGGGAGTTCACAGCCAGCCCACCAGGGTTCGAGTCTCGGCTCGAGCGCTTGGTGCTCACAGAGTTTTCTTTTATAAAAGAATGCCAACAGGCTAATCTAGCCCGGGTTGGTCTTATTTTTTAAAGGGCTGTTTATCCTAAAAAACTAGAAAAAGGCTATTTGTTCTTAAAAAAAAGTTTGAAAAGGGCTGTTTTACTCACCAAAAAAACTTGAAAAGGGTTGTTACCCTTCTGCTTCTCACACACATGTGTTGTTTGTTGCTGGGGCGTCTTCAAGGGCCGGCTCGTGCACGATGTAGCGCGCGAGTGCGAGTGAGAGGGAGCGAGCAGCGTAGCGGGTTTCCCTAAAAAAAGAACATAGCGGGCGCTTATTGTAGTGAATCCGGTTAACTGTAGCAAACATTAAAAAACAAATCAAATTTTCAAAAACTCGAACATATTTTAAAATTTCAAACACTTTTTGAAGAATGAACATTTAAAAAAACTATTTTTTCCTTAAGAACACGAACATTTTTGGAAAATTCCCTAATGAACAAATTTCGAAAGCATTAACATTTTTTTCATGAATTCCCAAACATTTTTTGAATTTGTAATTTTTCTTTGGAAACATGAACTTTTTGAAATTCCAAACAACTTTTGAGAACACAAACTTTTTTGAATCTGTAAACAAATTTTGAAAAAGGAAACAATTTTTAAAACCATGAAGATTTCTCTTAAACGTGAATATTTTTTGAATTTACTAAACATTTTTAAAAGAAACCTTTTTGAAAAAGGAAAAAGAAAAATCCGGAAGATAACCTATAAAAGAAACAATAGAAAAACAGTCTAAGCAGGTCAAGAACCTTCTAGAAGGTTCCCAAAGGCGGAGCCAACGTCCAACTTTCCTAGCTTTAAAGGAGCTGGCCCAGCTCAGTCGCTCCTATACGATTCAATGGTAATTTGCCGCAGAATGCAGCAAATAGGAAATATTAGCTAAGAGATTGTTGTTCTTTGGTTGCTACATTGAGCCCTATTCGTAGATCTGCCCACTAGAGCCCAGTCTAATGAGCCACAACACATATGTAAATTTCTCGAGGTTAAGAATGCTCGGTCCCGCCATCATAGGTGGCCTCACACGACCTTCCAAATGACTTTGCACTTCTCACCCATGACATTATCCGTGTGGGCCTCAAGGTTAAGAAAGGCTCTACTCGGCTTACTTGGGTTGTGTATGAACCTGATGAGACATCGATAGAACTGTAAGGGAAAATGGCATGAGGAGTGAGCACCAAGGTGCGATACCCCGATAATAGTGAAACTCTTGCCATGCCACAGATTCATCTTGGTTGCAATCTTGTCCTGGATGTACTAAAAGTGACTACCCTTGATGTTCTTGATGGATAGTTGGGGACCAAGGTATCTCATCACGAAGGTAGTGAAAAATGAAGAGGAGATAGAGCTCTGTAGAATGTCTCAAAGGTTGAGGCTATAGCAATGGATAGGGCCACCCAACTCTTATAAAAGTTTGTTGCGAGACTCATAATATGGAAGTTTGTTGCAAGACCCATAACGCGACAGACCCATCCGCGGATCCCCATTGGCGTCTCACTTGGCGGCCATGGGCGCCTCTCCGCATCAAGTTCTTTCTCTGGCTGGCCATGCAAGACCGTTGTTGGATAGTGGAATGACTCGCCCGCCACGGCTTGTCGCATGAGGACGCATGTGCACTATGCGATCAAGATTCGGAGACCATGCACCACCTACTTGTTGCATTCTCGTTCTCCCATCAGGTTTGGCATGAGATCCTTGGTTGGGCTCCTATGGCCATCGACCTACCCAACGTCGACAACCCCCTCCAAGCCTGGTGGAGTTCCTGCCTTGACCTAACGCTGGCCCCCATGCGAAAAGGTATATCCTCACTCATCATTCTCATGGCGTGGTTGCTTTGGAAACACCGCAATGCATGTGTCTTCTATGGAGCTACTCCTTCGCTCACCCTCATCACCAACACCATCAAGGACGAGGCACGCCTATTGGCCAAGGCGGGCGCCAAAGGGAAACACAACATCATCCCCGATGCATAGTAGCTAGTTTAGGCGTTTAGGGCTGAGCAAACCCCTTGTTCTAGTTTGCTCCTATGCTTGTACACCATGCCTTGCGTGTACATGGACTTGTAAGCGTTGTAACCTCATGTTTTTATTTCCCTTCTATCAATGAAAAGATACGCAGCTTGCGTATTCGCGAACAAAAAAACAATGATGAATAACAACATGGAGTAGGTGTCACCCGACATGAGACCACATGCATGTTTAATGGGCAGACACTAGGAATTTGGCTGCACTCTAGAGGAGGATGTTGCAAGAAGCACATATATCATGTCTCAAAATTTTAAGGGGAACCGCTGACCCTAAATTAAGTCAAGAATATAATCGCATCTCACATAACCAAACGATATTTCAATATCAAACTTGAACAAGAGTGTCGGCTTCTTATTGCAATGCAATCTCCTAATCTAAATTCTACAAATGATAAATGAAAACAATATAATACTAATGTATTATGTAACACTAATGCATGCAGTGTGGATGTAGGAAGTAACATGGCATTGATACTAGCACATGATACTATGCATTTTGAGTGGCCTATGACGAAATGCAACCTGAGAACCAGGTTACTTGTAGTGGAAAGTATCATACACTAATATGATATTGGTATACTAGTATATGATACACTAGTATCATATCTTCTATTTTTCTGCGAGAAAAATCTATATCTATTCATCAACTGTCAAGGTAGTACAAAGAACATCAAAAATAAAAATTACATCCAGGTTCGTAGACCACCTAGCGATGACTACAATCACTGGAGCGAGCCGAATGCGCGCCTCCGTCATCGCCCCTCCCTCATCGGAGTTGGCAAACCTTGTTGATATGATACTACATTCACAATACATAGTATCATAGCTTGGTATCATAGTGATGTCTTCTATTGTCATGCATAGCACATAGTAGTACATCATTTAATATGATACGATATCATATCATATACTCAATGTGGACATGCTACACCTGAGCTCATATGCATCCTCTGAACAGTAAAATCAAAAAATAGTAAACACAATAAAAAACAGATTTTTTTGGAGATATACTTTGACGAATTTTGAACATGCATGCAAAATTTCATGAAGAAAAAACAATCCAAAAATGCTACCATAAATTACGGCAGCATTTTTGGATTGTTTTTTCGTCATGAAATTTTGCACGCATGTTCAAAATTCATCAAAGTTTATCTAAAAAAACAGTTTTTTTGATTTTGTTACTATTTTTTTCAAATTTACTGTTCACAAGGATGCATAAGGGTACTTTCAACTCAATGCTCTCTTTTCTAATTTAATTATGTACCACCTCAGCAAAGATGTCTAGTTAGCATGCATGATACTGCCCATGTTACTCCCATTATAATCAGACTTATGGCTGTGTGCATCGCTCGATGCAGAGGCCAAGGCTCGCTCCCCTTTTTGAAGAAAAAAAACATGACCAGACTTAGTCTTCCTATAACAGGAGTATCATAGC